TGGTCAGCGTGTGGTGGGACAGTGGCCCTCCAGGCTGGGCTGCGGGATTCACCATGGTGGCCACTCTCTGCTTGCCGAACCCCAAGCCTGGTTCCCCTCCGGGAAGTCACGGCAGAAAGAAGGCCCAACTTCCTGAGTGCTTGCCCTCCTCCTGGACCTTGGTTCCCCAAGCATCCTATAAGCCCCTCGGGCCCTGCCGAGCCCCTCACCCGTACCCGGGGAAGCTCCTGGCCCCTCCTTCCTCGTCACGGAAACCACTGAAGGCGCCCTTGCTGTGGGCCAGGGACCATGTTGAATTGCTGTCCTGAATTAACTCCCTGAATTTCTATGCAACCATGTCAACGGTATACTTTCCTTTCTATTTTGCAGATGAAGAAACTGAGGTCAAAGACCTGGGACTCTTGCAGCCGTGCTGCAATGCTTGCTCCTGGGCACATCTCTCCTTGAGCAACAAAATTCAAAGAAACTGCATGGGGCTAAAAATAACTGTGTGCAGGCGCAGCTGGGGCAAGTTCTGGACCCAGAAGATGCAAAGAGACCAAACAACCCAACTGCCAACTTTTGAGGAGCCTGGAGCAAAGACAGAGTGTCGAGAGCAAAAGCAGGGCCACTGAGTGTGCCTCCTGCACAAAACGCCACCTGAGCGGGCGAGCAAAACACCTAAGCCACCCCTGCAGCCTCACCCCTGCACACACCCCTGCCCTCGCCCCACGTAAAGAACAATCTTGCCCCCCGCCTTGGGAAGTCAGCAAGCAAGGGAATCTGTTGTTAGTTCTTGCTTCCCCTGTGGCATCAGCGGCCCCAGGAAAGCCTTGCCTGAATTTCTTTTTTTAATTAATTAATTTATTTGTTTTTGTCTTCGCTGGGTCTTTGTGGCCGCGCAGGCTTTTCCCTGGTTGTGGTGAGTGGCGGCTGCTCTCTAGTCCCAGTGTTCGGGCTTCTCACTGCAGTGGCTTTCCTTGTTGCAGGGCGCAAACTCTAGGGCACACGGGTTTCAGTGGTTGAGACACATGGACTCAGTAGCTGTGGCTCCCGGGCTCTTGGGCACAGGCTCAGTAGTTGTGGTGCACGAGCTTAGTTGCCCCGTGGCATGTGGGATCTTCCCAGGCCAGGGATCGAACCTGTGTCTCCTGCGCTGTCAGGCAGATTCTTTACCACTGAGCCACCAGGGAAGCCCTTGCTTGAATTTCTTGTCTGGGCTCTAGTCAATTTCCATTGATTGGGGAAGACCTAAGAACCCTGGTGGGTAACAAGACGAGTGCACCCTCTTGTCCACAGCTGGTCAGTGGAGGAACTAGAATTCAAACCCTGATCTCTTCGATCCAAAAGTTTACTAGTAAAGAAAAATTGTAACTAGTCCTCAAATCTTTCCCCTCTTGACAGTTCTCAGGGACATTTTATTTCAACCTTAGATCAAGCCAGAGAAGGATATTATTCCCATTTTGCAGGTGAAAAAACTGAGGCTGGAGATAAGCAGTAACCCAAAACTCACACATGTGGTCAGGGTTGGACAGGAAAGGCCTGGCCCACCGCCCTTTGCCACCACAGGCCAGCAACAGAAGATGGGGTACCGTGACCCCAACCCCTCAGCTGCTGCAGCCCAAAGGGTGCTGAGAGCAGAACAAAAAGCAAAGACTTTTCCTGTTACACTTTTGCCTTTCCCTCTGGGTAGGAATAGACCTAAGTCAGCCAGTCTATCAAGGCAGAAGTATCCTCATGCGTCTGGGAACCCAAACTAGGGGAGGGGCCCTCAAGCCACCTTTTGAAGATTCTTTAATATCTTTTCATTTAAAAAACGTAGACTTAACCTGGTGATCCAGTGGGTAAGAATCTGCCTTGCAATGCAGGGAACGTGTGTTCGATCCCTGGTAGGGGAACTAAGATCTCACATGCCGCAGGAAGAGATGCCCAAATGCTGCATCAAAAGATACCACGTGCTGCAAATAAGACCCATGCAGCCAAATAAATAAATATTTAAAAGCAAAAAAAAGAGTATGCATTAAAAAATGTTTTTAAAAATGTTTCTTATTTAATTACAAAAATAGCACATGCTTATTGTGTTTCCTACTCTTGGCCAAGCTGGTTGGCCCGTCCAACCAGCCCTCATCCCACCCCTCATCCTTCCTCTGAGAAGCAGCCTCAGCAGTTTGGTCTGAAATCTTCCAGCCCTATCAATACTTTGTGAGATAAGCATAATTTGTTGGTGTTTTTCTTCTTCTTTTCTTTCTAGTATTAAAAATGGGCGCAGGCACACAGCAGCAAATTGCTTTTTTCAGTTACTATATCATTTAAATAGGAAACGTGCAGTTACTGTGAATAGTCTGACCTTACTCTGTTCAACTGCCGGAGGGCGTATCGGATTGTTCTGGAGTGTGTGGCTGCTCAAGTCCGTGAGCAGTAACGTGGCTTCTTCTGGTTGTATTGCTCTTACAAGCAAAGTTTCTGTGACTGTTCCAATACATCTCATCACCCTCAGGAGAATATTTTTGAAGGTAGAGGCAGCATGTCATAGCAGCTAAGAGCGCAGAAACAGGAGTTAACTCTGCACTTAGTGGCTGGGTGACCTTGGACAGGTCAGCTGTCTCTGAGGCTCAGTTTCCCCAACTGGAAAATGGGGATAATAACAGTGCACCTACTTCAGGGGGTCCTTGCCAGAATTCAGTGAAAGCATAAACATCAGGCCCTTAAAACTGCCTGCCACGGGGAAAGTGCCAGTGGCTATTGTTATCGAGAGATGGTTGGGTCTCAGACTTTGTGCTTTTTTTCAGTTTTACCAGATTTTGCAAAAGAGGACCACCCAGGGGGACTCCTGCTCTCATAGCTTCAAGGATACTAGCCCCTCCCCACCACCAGACACTAGTGCCCCCCAAGCAGGGCAGTCTCTGCCTTCTGGAAGGTTAATCATTAGAATTACACCCCTCTTTCTCTGGGCCTCCTACTGTAGTTTAGACTCGCTTGTTCTCTGAGCGGCAGATTCCGGTGTACCTCCAGGCCCTGCATTTAACCAGACTCCAAGCCCACACAGATCCTCAGACTCCATCTTCCTTCTTCTAGTGTCATTTCCCCACTAACAAGCCTTCCATTCAAAGAGGCTTTCTTGCTGTGACAGAAAGAGCCCCAGCCCAGAGTTCAGGGGAGATTGACCTTGGTGACCAACTCCCTCCCTCCCTGCTGAGAGAGTGGGGCAGGGCTGGTAGCCCCCCTCCTCCCCAGCCTTGGTTTATGGCCAGGACCAGGGTGGGCCAAGCCAGGCCCACATGGGTGCTGACTCTCCAACCTCCTAGAAGGGCCAGGTGGATGCCAAACACTGAACTAAGCTTTACATCTGGGATACCTGCCTGCCTCACCCTGGTCCTGGGGCTACTCAGTTTTCTTATCTGCAAAATGGGTGTCCTAGCTGCAGCCTAGAACCTCAGGTGCTGACTCAGAGGAGTCAATGAGAGAGAGAGAGAGAGAGAGCTGAGCACAGGACGGGCTTTATGAACTCTCGAGTGCAGGATTTAAGATTATCATGCAAGCTGGGTGTGAAGCAGGAGAGAGTGAGTCTGACTGTGGTAACTTGGAAATCCCAATCTAGGACAACTTTCCCCGGAGGTAGGAGCATGATTCAGAGAGGATGCTCAGAGAAGTGTGCCCTGATAGAGGGAAAAGACAGTCACTTGGAACCTCACTCCTTAATACTTAGGGGAGCATCCTAAGCCCTTTATCTATGGGGGAGCTGCATCCCTTTGGACATGAAGACCCTGCAGCAACCACAGCCACGGGGATTTCTGTGAGGTTTGAGGCCAAAGGCAGGGAAGTCAGAGACAGTACTGGGGCTCCATCCCCAGCTCCAGACAATGGGCAGGGCAGTAAACTGGGGCAAGCAGAGGTCCAGGCAGGGAGAGGAGACCATGCCCTTTCTCAGGTAGGAAGCTTGCTCACTCTTCTCTGGCCCAAATTTATCTTTACTGACTTCAAGACAATCTTAGGAAGTCATATTATCACTAGTTCTATTTTAAAGACTATGAAGCGGGTTCAGAGTGGGGAATTGTCTCCCCAAGGTCCTGGATCAAGAAACTCCAAGAATCTGGGCAGGTTGAAGAACTTGTATTTGATTTTCCAAGGAGATAGCTTAGGGTACCCTAGTTTTTCCTCCACCCTCACCCCCACCATAAATCCCTGTGCTGACAGAAGCAGACCTGGCCTCTCTGGAGCTCTGGGTGGCTACTGGGCAGGCCAGGCTGCAGGACCCCCCTCACCCACCCTACACCTGCCCCTCCCTTGGGCCCCACCCCTTCTCCTTGATGGTGATGGTCACAGCTGGGCCTGGCCCCATTAGCACCATTTTCACTAACCACTCGGAGGCCTAGGGTGGGAGTGGTGCAGACGGGCTCCCCCGGGGCCCAATCCTCTTTGCTACACAGACTCCACCCTCCCCATCACAGAGGCTACAGTCTTCCCCACCCCACTCTAAGCCCTCGGTCCACCCTGAGGTCCTCGTGGGGCAGCCTGGCTCCCACCTCAAAGCTGCTCTAATGATCTTGCCTTTGAGACTGGGGGTCAGCCCCAAATCACAACATCATCAGTAATAATAAAAGCCATCTCCTAAACTATGGGAGTTGGTGATGGACAGGGAGACCTGGCATGCTGCGGTTCATGGAGTCGCAAAGAGTCAGACACGACTGAGAGACTGAAGTGAACTGAACAAGGGAAGGTTTTCAGAGTGGCCAATGGGGACACAGCCAGGCATCTGCAATGTCTCCTTTACGGAGGCTCAGAGAGGGGTAGCTACTTGCGCAAGGTCACACAGCTTGTCAATAGCAGAGCCAAGATTTGAACCCAAGTCTGCTCAACCCCAAATTTTAATCCCCATGGTAGGAATGGGACCAAAACCAGGGCTTGGATCTGTCTGATGTGGGCAGTTCAACTCCACCCTCTACCATGCCAAGGAAGACTTGCCCCTTGCCCAGGAAAATGCTGGGAGAGGCAGCAGTAGGCTCCTGCGCTTGAAATCCTACCTTGCCCCCATCCTGGCTCCTGGGATGTTGGGAAGCTCAGACAGGTTCATTCTGCCAGAGGGAGGCCGGAACTTCCTTGGACAAAGAAGGCAGACAATAAGGCCCAGGCCACGAGGGTAAAGGAGCGAAGAAATGAATAAATGATGCAATAAGCCAACAGCATCTCAAAGCTCAAATCCTGTTAGAGTGCTCAGCCTTTCACCTCCTCCCGCAATGCCACCTATCAGGCCCCACAAGAGACAGTCCCAAAGTCACCACCTATGGCCCACAGACAGCAAATGTGTCATTTTGCTTTGCATGTCACCGTGCTATTAAAGTTTTCAGTTTTGCCAACATTTAACAGCTGTGGAACCTCACATGAAAGCTCAAATTTTTAGCTTCACTTGAGAAAGCAGAAGTTCTGGAAAAATGAGGCCCACCTTCCTGCACAGTGTGGTTGCCTCTTGGGACCAGGCCTGGGCCCTCAAGGCTGTCACGGCCTCCAGAGCTCCCCTGTTCTCCCTGACACTGAAGCCAAAGTCAGGTGCCACTTTGCTGCTAGCTATGGCTTTCATGCCTCTTCCATGACCCCTTGAAGTCCAGAAGTTTGAGAAGAAACTTGGAACCTGGGGCGCTAGGTTTTAACTTGCTGTGTGACCCCAGGCAAACTCCTCCGCCGTCTGTGCTTCAGTTTCTTCCTTTGTGAACGGAGGGGCAGGCAGATGAGCTAACAGCCCTTCTTGCCCACAGTGGCCCAGGCTTGATACAGGCCTGGGGAGTCAAGCGGGCCTTCCTTGGCACAGGCCCCTGGACAGATGTAGGACATGGTGACAAAGAGATTGGATGCTGTTGACGCACCAGAGCTGCATCCAGGCGCTCATGATGTGGGCTCCACTGAACATTTTCCCTGCAGAGGCTTGGGGGAAGGTGGCTGCCTCTCAGATAAATGACTCCCCGTACCCGGGTTTCACAAACATGTCCAGCAGGTCAGCGGCGGAAGAGGGATTGGACATGGTCTCTGTTTCCACGGGCCATCAGTGTCGTCACAGCAGCTGCAGCAGAAAGCAAGCCACTCAGCAGAGTAGAACTGAATACCCAAAGTTGGCTTGAACATGCAGTGACCTATAGAGGGGCTGGGACTCCCTAACCAGGCCTCCTGCAGATCAGTCCCTGGAAACCCTGCTGGGGTTCAGGGTCAAGGACAGCGGCCAGGCCTGGGCCAGGCAAGCCCAGAAGGTGGCTTGCTATCTGGGGAGTCAATTCTGAGTCTCGGAAAATTCATCTCAGCCCAGATTCTTCACGCACCTCCTCTGTACCTTGGCACTGTGCTATGAGCCCAAGTGGTCACTTCCTAAACAAGAGCAAGCTTTGCCATCAGTTTTGCTATTACCACTGCCTCTGTGGTTGGTGCCTTTCCAAGCATATGTGTGAGACTCCACCTCTGTCATAGGAATTACCTCCATCTTGCTAGAGCCATTGTGAAAACCAAACAGTAACAAATTTGTGTGGAGAGCCTTGGAGTGACCAAGCTGTTTGAGGTTTTTATTTTCATGAGACTCTGAGCCTGACAGGGCCCAGTCACCACACTCTGGTGCCCACCCCCCACTGCCCCAACTCACACCCATTCCCACGCTCACTCCTCCAGCCCGCCCCTGCCCACCCGCCCTCCCCTCCCGGGCCTGAGGGGGCCCCAGCCTCGCCCGCACCCCCCTCCCAGTCCCTGTGGCCAGCTGCCTCCCAGCGTGCCCTGCGGCCAGCTCCATGGTTGGGCTCCCAGAAGCCACAGCCTGCCCCGACTCCCACAGCCAAATCGAGTCAAAGACCAATTAATATTCTGATACCTGTGGCCGGCTGAAGTGATGTAGAGCTGATGATTTCTTTTTCCATTTTACTCCAACTGTGGTTTCATTTTTTTTTCCCAGCCCTCCTTTGGTCAGTGGTTTTAGGGGCACTAAAGTTCACTTTTGTGGGTAACCTGCACTGTTAGCTGTTGATTTAATTAACTCAGCCTTTCTCTTCCTTGACCAGAACAAGGCCAGCCGGGCTGCTTTGCAGACACCCATTTGGACAGCCCACGGCCAGCGGCGTCTGGCGGGAGGGTGTGTGGTCCCTGGCAGACACTCGCCAGCCCTGGCTGTCCTTCACTTCACATTTTCTGAAGCACTTCTGAGCCACTGTCTCATGAGGCTCCCCGGGGTTTGGTTCCCACTGGACACGTGGGGAAACTAAGGCTCAGAGATGGGAACCCGATACCCTGGGGCCACAAAGCTAGCCACAGGCAGAGCTGGGCTGGCTTGCCAGCTTTGTCTATTTATTTGCATGGTCCTCTATTTCAGGTGACAGTTTATTCCTGCACAAGGTCCCCCTTGAAGGGGAGGAAGGAAAAGGCTGGAAGACACATAGGAGTGCTAAAGAGGAACAGGAGGACAGCAGCAGGGGGCGAGGGGAAGGATGCTAGTTGAAATCACAATCTCCTGGCCTCACTCCTGAGGTCCTTTCTCTTGATGGAGCAGACTAGAGTCCTTCATCCTCTGAGAAGTTTCCAGAATCCTAGCACAAATCTCTCAGTGGCCAGGTGAGGGGAACATTCCGCCCTCAGCATTCTGCCCTCTAAGTTCCCTGTCCAAGGGATACCTAGTGTCCCCTAGGGCTGTCGGGAGCAGAGAAGCCTGGAGCAGGAGGGAGCAGGAGAGACCAGAGCAGAAGTGGCTTTAGAAGGAGAGCTTTCAACTGGGAACATGCCAGCAGCTGAGGCCAGGGCGGGGAGAATTGCCAGGAGACTCCCTGTGTGACTTGACCCGAGCCCCTTCCATCTCTGGTTCTCAGATGTATTCACAGATGTTCACAGCACAGCCGTGCTGCCCTCTCAGTCTGGGCAGCTAGAATTTTAGGAAACTCTGGCTTCTAGACCAGAGAAGAGAGGGCTCCGGGCTTGTAGACAGACCCTCCTCTGCTCACCTTCATTTGCCACCTCCTCCAGGAAGCTCCCCACCCCTCACCCACACCCATTCCTCAGTTCTCTGTTCAGGGCTCTGTGGATTTGCTTTTTTTTTTTTTTTTGCCACCAGGGTGAATTGTCAATTGATTTGTTATTTATCCCACTGACAACAAAGAGAGTGAAAAGGTAATAATTCTGGGCCCTGGGGTAATTCAATTCCTGTAGCACCGTCAGCTACATTAACTTACTTCCTGGATCTCAATTCAATTAGAGCAACATTCCCCAGCATTAATAAATCAATACTCATGCCATTTGGATATATTTTGAATGTCTTTCATTATACATTGTAGGTCGGGGATGGCTGCTGAATTGGAAGTTAATGGGACAGGACAGGGCAGGTGGGGCTGCCTGGGGAGAAGCTGCCAGCCGTTGACTCTAATTGCCTCTGCTGCAGAAGAGACCGTTAGTAAAACAGGGACCTGGTTAACTGAGCTAGCCCACTGGAGTTACGGCGAGCTACAGCTCCAGTCTGGGTGGGGGAGGTACAGTGGTTGGAGAGACTGTGTTCACCCACTTTTGTATTCATTCATTTGTTCGTCCACTCATCCACCCTCCCACCCCTCCTCCCACCCCTCCTTTCAGTCTTCCTCCCCCATGTCCTCTTACTCTCCTCCCATCTCTCTTTATACTTCCTCCAGGCTTTCTTTCCATCTTCCTCCCATCCCTCCCTGATCCTCCTCCTGGTTCCTCCCATTCCACCTTTTCTCTCTCCTCCTATTCCTTCTCCCATTCTTCTCATCCTTCCTCCAAGTCATCTTCCCATCCCTCCCCTCACCTTCTCCCCATCCTCCCTCTTCCTTTCTTCCAGTCTCCTTTCCGTCTTTTCACCAGTCTATCCATCCAGAACTCTGGACTGAGGGCTACAGGACACTAGGCTACGGAAGAGAACACGGTGATGCATACTGACTTCTGGGCTTATATAGATGTATATCAAGCTTACCTGGTGGCTCAGATGGTAAAGAATCTGCCTGCAGTGCAGGAGACCAGGGTTCAATCCCTGGGTCGGGAAGATCCCCTGGAGAAGGGAATGGCAACCCACTCCAGTATTCTTGCCTGGAGAATCCCATGGACAGAGGAGCCTGGTGGGCTATGGTCCACAGGGTCATAAAGAGTTGGACACGACTGAGCAACTGACAGACAGCAACACATAGATGTATATCATACATGTTCTTCAACCTCAGAGACTCGGAATCTAAAGAAATAGCTGCAACACAATGTTCAAGAACCACAGCACGAGCAATCAATAGCACTTTTGTTGCCAAATAAGCCGAGCAAGGCTCAGAGGGGAGCCAGTGGCCGAAAAGTCTGACTCTTGGGATTGGGGGAGCATAAGGGAAGGCTCCCCAGAGGATGCGAAGCCTGGGGCAGACTTTGAGGATGAACAGATCTTGGCTAATTGGCTTTAGGGAGGTCAGGAACTGCAGAGAGCCTGAGGAAACTGAGGGCCGCAGGGCAGGGGCTCCCAGTCTTGTGTATGGATCCAAATCACCCAGCAGATAAAGAAAACTACAACTCCCAGGATCCTCCCTGGGGAGTCTCATCCAGGAGGTCCAGGAAGGGTCAGGAATCATGGTCAGCAGCCACAGCCTGCGCCTCAGGCTGGCCCTGTCCCAGCACTCTCTGAACTTTCCTAGGGTCTGCAATCAAGTTTCTCGTTGGACGATATCCCTTGAGACAGGCAAGAGAGGCACTCTTTCCTCCTTTTGACAAATGAGCATACTGAGACCCAAACAGACAAGGGCAGAGGCCCTGATGGAGTCTCTGTCTTCTTTGCCTGGAGGCCCAGGGCCTTTGCACCTGCTGTGCCCTCTGCTTGGACCACACTTCTGGGTATCCATGTGGTTGGCCCCTCCCCTTCTGTATTTGTTATTTATTGCTGTATAACAGATTACCCAGAAATTTAGTGTCTTAAAACAACAAACACTTATTATCACATAGTTTTTGTGGATCAAGAATAAAGGAGTGGCTCATTCTGGTGCAGACTCTCTGAGGAGTTTGCAGCTAGAATGTCAGCAGGGGTGGCAGTCATCAGAAAGCTTGACTGGGTGCCACGACTGGTGAGTAGCCCCCATCTGCTGCAGCTGGAGAAAGCCTGGATGCAGCAGTGAAGACCCAGTGCAGCCAAAAATAAATACATAAAAATTTTAAAAAGTGAGTTAACAAGTCCAGTCCACACTCAAGGGGAGGACAGTTAAGCTGTATTTATTGAAAGGAAGAATATCAGAGCCATATTTTAATGCCCCCATATCTTCCTTAGGATCTCAATCAAATGTCACCTTATCAGAGATGCTTTCTTTGATAAATTTGTCTGTAAAGATGCCCTGCCTCTTGTTCTCTTTCTCTCTCTCTCTCCTCTCTTGTTCTGCTTTTTTTTTTCCTTCCATGGAATTTTCCACCACCTGCTATCCTATCTATTTTAATTATTAATCTTACCTGCCTCCCCCCCCCCACCGCCACTTAGCCTAGACTCCGTGAAATCAGATACTTGTTCATGGCTGTCTCCCCACCACAAGAATGATCCCTGGCACATAGTAGGCTTTTAATAAGTCATTGTTGAATACAAGGATGAAGATGGAGCTGAAGGAAGAGAGGGCAGTGTTGATTCATCTGGGGTCTTTCCTGTCCCTGACCCTGACAGGTGACCTCCCTGTCACCTGACATTTCATTCCATGACAGACTGGGACAGCTTGGCCTGAGCATCAGTTCTGGTCCCAGATTGGCCACTGGCCTTCAATGTGATGCCAGAGGTGTCCTCTGCTGGGGCTCAGCCTGGGTTCCTCCCCATCATAGAAGTGTACTAGATTCCTTCCATTTAATGAGTATTGTCCCAGCACCTACTAGCTACCACAAGTGTTCTGGGCACCAGACAGACACAGTACCTGCCCTCACAAAGTTGAACCTCTGGGATAAAACCACTGAGGCTCTTTCCAGCTTCAATATACTCTTGTTCTGCCCTCAGGCCACTGGCAGATGCTGCTGAATATTGAATTATGTCCCCACAGCTTCATATATTGA